ACATGAAAATTTCCAGTATATAGATATTGACACATAGTTAACATTTATTTTCATAACTCTTTGAGATTTGAATGATATTGTCAATTTTAGCGTAAAAGTAAAAAATATTTGTTGTTTATGCTTAATTGCACACAGAGAAGCTCGTTTATTTTCTTTGGTTCATTCTTTGATACCGATCTTCGCCTGAATCCTATAGTACGAGAGGTTGTAAAATATAGCGGGATCTAATAGCTTTACAACGAAACCAATCAAAATCAATGGCTAAAATTAGAGACAAATCTAGAATGCTTTTCCGGTGAGGGAAAATTTTCTCATTAATTATATTAAAGCTGAACTTCTTTATTTCAATAACTAAAATACTGTTCGAATGATTTAAAAGTTAAACCATAGTTAATGGCGAATACATTTGCTTAGAAACTTAATTTTCATCCTACAGTTTTCTCAAGGGTGTTTTCGTGATCTATCGTGGAAAATTGGACCAAAATAAATTAACTTAATAATGTTTTTAGAAATTTTACGGGGGCATTTGCCAAAAGGTACCAAATTGCCGCGTTGTAATGCTCATTATGTTTGGAGCAGTCGGTGGGGTCAATAGCCCCCAGGTCCATCCCTAGTTGAGATGGATTATAATCATGAATATGGATTCAAATGATATAATCCTGTTCATGAAGACGAAAAAGATTGAGCTTCAAGTTATACACGAAACTGAACATAGTGTACCAACCGTAGTCGCTAATTATTCTCGGTCAAGGGATATAAAACTCATATTTAACATGAATATATTGCTAATCGTATATAGTTCATCCATGTCCATTCGGTACAACTAATGATGCCTTGTCATGACTCTATAATGTGCCATTAGTTTTAAGTATACAAACAGCCTATCAAAGACTTCTTTGAATTTTGACGAGAGATCATCGCATTATCATTTACTACAATCATGTTCTAATAGTGGGAAAACCGTGAAATTGTGAATTTTTCTCCTTTTTGCTGAACATCAAAATATTGAAATTGTTCAATAGGAACACTTCCTAGGCTTCAAATCACATTTAAAACGAACGATTCCACATCAATGATAGTAACAACCCAACCACTAAGGTTTGTCCCAGTGGCCATCCTTCCTACTTGGGAAGGGCGAGATGTGAAGTTTGATTCTCCATTTTCTCAAGGGGGGTTAGGGGTGGGGACATTTAGTTTTGGATGTAGGTTTCGACTCCCACGCTCTGCAAAGAGGTAGGGCAAAAGTGTGAGAGTGATTTGAGAGTTAGAGTAAGATCAAAAAAGAAAGAAAGATAGTAACAACCCGAATATAATACCCAGTTGGTTGCTAAGGATGCGAATGACAACCATTCTGTTCCAGAAATCAATTTCTGGCAAGAAATTGATTTTTCAATTTCTGTTTCTGGACGAGTTTCTGAACAAAAAAACTCGTTTGATAACGACACAAAATTTCTATTTCTGGAATAGAAATTCGTTTGATAACTGCATAAAATTTCAATTTCCTAGAACAGAAATTCATTTGATAACATAGTCCTCAAATACCACATCACCTTACAAGAACCATGGAAAGTCCAAGAAGGAAAAGGCAACATAATGGAAATACATTACACAAGTCGAAAATACAATTTCATGGAATCTCCTGCATATAATGATCCCTTGCAATTTTATTGGCAATACTTTTCCTAAGCATGTTCATCTCGGTTCCTTCCCCGATCAATGTATCGTCCGTAACCTCATCTTGTGTAGGTTCAAACTCGTAATTTGGATCTCCATATAGGGAAAAGTTCTTATCCATCTTGTCTTGATCACGGGTGTAATTATGAATAGCACAACATGCAATTACAATACTTGCTTGCTTTCGAATTGTAAATGAAGGCATGTGTCTTAAGATGAAAAAGCGATTCGTTAATGCTCCAAATGATCTCTTAATGACATTCCTTAGTGAAGAATGCCTATAGTTGAACAATTCTCTTGCTGTTCTTGGCCGTCTTGCTCTACCCCTATAATTATTTAGATGATACCGTTCACCTTTGAAAGGAGTTAAAAATCCCGGAGTTGCTGCATAACTAGAATCTACTACGTAGTATTTGCCTATAACAAGGTATTCATTTATTGGTCATGATTTGCAATTGCATTCCAATCATAAAGAAAATTACTACTTAAAGAACAAGCAAGTACCTGGTGGTGGTCGAAGAAATTCCAAGCGAGGAGTCTCGAGTGCTGCCGAGAGCACCCGACAATCGTTGGTAGAGCCTTCCCAACCAGCATACACAAAAGTAAATTTCATATCAAATGAACAAACACACAACACATTCTGAGTGGTAATTCCTTTCCTTCCTCTAAATGGGATCTGCTTCTCCACAGGAATAGAAGCATGAATATGGGTGCCATCAATAGCGCCTACACAACCCTATCATTTTATCAAAAACTAGTATTATGCATTATTATCAACAAAATAAAACTGATGGTGTAAAGGAAGGAATGTGTGAGAATCCTGCCTTAAAGTAACGTTTATGATTAGGATCCATAAGAATCTCCTCTGGGACGACATCAAAGGAAGGGGGTACAATAACCTCTCTTGCCAGTTTGAGAACTGCTTTCAACACTATTGTAAAGTACTTGCTGATAGTTTGTCCTAAATGTTGGAATCTCTCACATAAATCTCTATTAGAGTTCTTGTGACAAATCATAGATAAGAAAATCCCAACTTGTTCATCTACCCTAATATATCGACTATCTTTCAACCAACCTTTTGCTTTCATCAATTCACAAAAGTTGAGAAAGACATGTCTCTCCATTCTAAAAGCTTCATATACTCTATCTGAATGTCCATATAGAACCTCTCTTACCCATTCGGGTCCTGATAATACGCTGTCTCTAATAGGTTCTCTTATGTGCATGGACATATCCACATCAATAGTGAACAACCAGGATATCAATTTATCAAGATCAAAATCATCAAAGTCTTGTTCAACTGATTCGACCGATGCTACTTCATCATTATAATTGCTACTTTCACCCCCCTCCATATTACCTATGCCATCACACGAAATAAAAACATAAACACATCAGATAAGGACTCCAATAACAATCAATAGTAGCCACAATAGCCACAATGTCATCATAGTTGCATCATAAGAAAAAACCAAACAATAGCCACAATGTCATTGTAGTTGCATCATAAAAAAACCAAAGTCTCAAGTACATAAGTCAATAAGTCATACAATGATGAAAGCCAAATATAAATCCATAGCATATTTCACAACAACTACTTAAAGAGATTCAAGAAGTCCACGCCTCCTTTCAGGTAGAGATATGATGAAAGCTTCTCTCCAAGTGGCATTAAGGCATGCCTGGTTCATAGCTTTGTTGTAAAGATCCTGCTCCAAGTTAGGCATGCCATTTAGGACGGCAACCACAACTCCTATGGAGTAGGGGTCTACAGGTGGTGGGGCATGTGAGGTGACGGAGCCACTTGTTGATTGACCCGTCCTTAATTTGATCATTTCTTAAATGGCTTTGCATGTGCCACTAACATCATATGTGTTGCTCTTTCTCCTCCTCTTGGAATTTGGAGTGCTATCCAACTTGTGCTTATCACGAACTGGGGTGGCAGTCATTTCAGGTGTAAAGACTCCCTCATTAATATAGTGTTCATTAAATTCCTCTGAATCACCTACCCCACCACCACCACCACCACCACCACCATTGTCTTCTCCCTCCGACATTAACAAGTCTTCTACATTTCCTACTGCATACTCCCCAGTAGCATATGTATCACCAAACACAACACACAGTTGGGGATACAAAGGAAATCCATCATTCTTGAATTTAGCCCATTCGCTATTATCCTACAATTTTCACAATAATGACATACGTCAGCAACATAATTGAAGCTTATATCCTTAATAAAAACAAACTGACCCAAATAAAGTAATACCTTGATGTGAGACTCCCATACACTTGCATCATCTACAGTAACCTTCTCTTTTACATTATCCCATCCAAATTCAGATTGTGAAATAAGCTTCTTAAAACTACCATACTGTCTCTTCAGTTTGTTTACCCTATTCTTCAACTGAATTACACTAAATTGGAGTCCTGCTTGTTTATTGAATTCAGCATGTATGTTATTCCACCCTGCTTTGTTGAAAGTACAGGTGGTGCGATTTCCTTTTTTTACCTCGTCTACCAACAAACTTACAAGCATATTGGTCAAAGGCTCGGTCCACTTTGCCATAAGAACCTCTTTGTTGGATGCCATTTAACCTTAACTGGTTGAGCATCAAATGAGCCACATCAGATAATGTACTAATTCAAGTGCAATAAACCAATAGAAACAAAGAAATTGAAAGAGAACATCCTCCTATCAGATCAAACAAGTATATATCGCGCTAGTCAAATTACCAATTCCACTAAACTTGAACGGTCCGAGTCAAACATCTTGGCTTTTCAACAAAAGTCGGATTAAAGGCATTTTCACGGAAGTCGAAGATATCTGGTTTTTTCCCTAGAAACTATAAATGATTTGGAGCATAGCATTGTTATAGAAATTTGAGAACCTTATGTAACAATACCAAGAAAACAAACCCAAGATCTTGTAACTTTTAGAAGATCCCTGAATGTTAACTTTCATTTGCCTTGCGCACCAATGTAGGAATGAATTCGAACAGCAGCTGCAAGATCATTCTTAATATAACAAGTATAACCAGCGTACCACAGATATCATGACCTCGTTGAGGAATGTGTTCGGAGCTGGCAAAACAATCCTAGCCAAGGCACAACTACTCCAGTACTGGAAGACCTTGCATTAGGCATGTGCAGGCAAAATGAAAAAAAGGTTTATTGACATTGATTATACCTCTATCCACCCTCATCCAGTAATCAAGAATCTCACGAGATGACTCCTCTATACTCTAAAAATGCTCGAAAAAGAAATTGAAGGAAAACCTTTTTACAAAGGCACACATTTTTGGTAAAAAAACCATACAGAAACTACTTCACTTGACCACAGTCTGAAACTGCATATGCACGAAACATTCATCCACGACATAGAATTACAAGAAATGACGACGAAGTAGACCATGTCACACAAATATACACACAACACGAGAGAGAATCAAGACCATCAGGGAGCAAAGTCAGTCTATCAAGGACAGTTAACGGTCACTTATCACGCAAAATGGCACGACTCGAAGCAAAAATGAACTCGAACGAAAATGGAAACGAGTGGGATTGAGAACGGATATATACTTGCACTTGAATTGGTACATTATCTGATTTGTCAAGGAATGAGGAAAGCAGCGCACCTGGAGCGAGACAGAGAGTAGACAAGGCGATGAGAGGCGGAGCAACGGCGACAGAGCAACGGTGGCGATGAGAGGTGGAACAACGGCGGCGACCAGAGGCAGAGCAACAGCGACGGTGAGTGTGGCGACGAGAGGCGGAGCAAGAGCTGCAGCAAGCACGGCGACGAGAGGCGAAGCAAGAGCGGCGGTGAGCACGGCGACCAGAGGCGGAGCAACGACGACGACCAAAGGCAGAGCAACAGCGACGAGAGGCACAGCAAGAGCGGCGGCGAGCGTGGCGACGAGAGGTGGAGCAAGAGCGACGGCGAGTGCGGCGACCAGAAGCTGAGCAACGGCGGCGACCAGAGGCAGAGCAACAGCGGCGGCAAGCGCGGCGACGAGAGGCGGAGCAAGAGTGGCGGCGAGCACTGCGACAAGTGGCGAAGCAAGAGCGGCGGCGAGCGCGGCAACAAGAGGCGGAGCAACGGCGGCGACCAGAGGCAGAGCAACAGCGGCGGTGAGCCCGATGACGAGAGGCGGAGCAAGAGCGGCGGCGAGCGCGGCGACGGGAGGCGGAGCAACGGCGGCGACAAGAGGCAGAGTAAGAGCGGCGGCGACGAGAGGCGGAGCAAGAGCGGCGGCGAGCGCGGCGACGAGAGGTGGAGCAACGGCGGCGACAAGAGGTAGAGCAAGAGCGGTGGCGACGAGAGGCGGAGCAAGAGCGGCGGCGAGCATGGCGACGAGAGGCGGAGCAACGGCGGCGACAAGAGGCAGAGCAAGAGCAGCGACGACAAGAGGCGTAGCAAGAGCGGCGGCGAGGAAACCAGCGCGCTTGAGGTCCCGGGGGAGCTCCATCTTCGTCTCTTCCCAGGCCTCCTCCTCCTTCACTTGCGTTCCTGCTGGGGTGAGGAAGACGGCGTCGACAGTGAGGAGGACGGCATCGACGGCAAGGAGGACGGCGTTGACGGCGGTGACTGCCAAGAATGTCGCAAGATTCATCAGGCGGGACATTGAGGAGGATGGCGTGGCGGCGAGGAGGACGGCCTAGGGTTTTTGTGGTCTCTCTGTTGAAGAGGAGGATATTTCCTTCGTTCAGATCAGATCTGTCTTTGGTGGACTTTGGTGGACTTTCGTTCAAAGCAGAGCTGGTCTTAAGGCTGAAGAAGAGATAGAAATTGTTTCTATTTCTAAAACAGAAATAGGAGAAGCAAAAAATGTTAACTTCTGATTTCTTTTTCAAATCTATTTCTGGAACAAAAATTTGTTCCAAAAATAGAAATTAAAATTGTGTTACCAAACGGATTTCTGTTCCAAACCTATTTCTAGAACAGAAATAGAGAAAGAGAATGGTTATCATTCGCAGCCTAATTATTCTCTATCAAGAAAACATGGTCAACGGTCAGAAAACGGGCTCTAGGGTATAATGTAGTACTGGTGGTAAGTGCAATTGGCAAATCCTAGTTTCTATTTTTTTTATAATTTTTTTTCGGTTTCAGAGCCAATATGGTAATATGTTGTAAATTTGTTGCGGGAGAATCCGACTTAACTCCATCAACAAATTCACCACCATTGATGTTCATTCAAGCAAAGGTGGAGTTCGGTCATAACATGCTTTGGTGGATCATCGATGAAGAGACTTTCGACCGAGTTACCGATTAAAGTTATTGGTACACCAATAATACTTGCCGAATTCAAAGTTAATCAACAACATATCAATGGGAGGTTGTTCCATGTAATTTCTTATGACATTTGCTGATATATTGAGGTGATTATCCTCTGGTCAAAGATGGGGCACGAATTTTGGAAGATGAACCGCATGGCTGAAGAGTCAAGATTTCAAGTCTCCATGTCTTTATTGCACTTCATAGTTCCTATGCGTCATTAATGCATTTCTAAGCTCCTAGGTCTTAATTGTTATGTAAGTTTCAAGAGTCAAAGTCCTTAGTAACTAGGTATTTAAATGTTTTCTCGTTCCCATGTCTTTTAATGTTTGGTTATTCCTTATGTGTGTTTGTTCTTCTATAAAAAGAGGCGAATTTTCCATTGTAATGCATACTAGACTTGTTGAATGAAATACATGAGATTTTCCTCGGCACGAGCGAATTTCTTTAGAGTGGATAACTACTATTCTGGTTTCTTTATCCTTGGAGAATGGATTACTCATTGGTGGTGAGCTAGGAAATACTTTATCTTCGGCTGGTGATTTTCCTTTAGGTCCCGGTGGTGAGCTTATCCTATCCCAAAGTCCTTTAATCTTGACAGGTGGCTTATCCTTTAAGCCTTGGTGGTGAACTTCATCGATCCCAATCTTTATCTTCAGTTGGTGGCCCGTCCCTTATACCTTGGTTGTGATCGAATCTATCTTTCGATTCTATTTTACCCAGTGACATACATCCCGCAAACACACATCCATCCATCCACATAACCCATAAAACCCCATTTTCGGAATCACTCACCCATGCACTCATCAAGTTGGTATCAGAGCTTAAGGTTGAACTCGTTGAGGGATTTCTTCTATTCAACTCATACTCATCATGGATGAACCTGTTCCGAGAGGATTGACTTTGGAACAAGTGCACAAGGAAAGGCGAGACCGTGCAATTTAGAATCTCCATCAACAAAATGGAGAGAGTCCTTATTCTTCTTAAAGATCCGGTGAGGCAAGGACAACCAGCAAGACATCTTAATGATCGACATCGACACAACGATTCAGATTTTCGTCGAAGTTCTAGTGATGAATCCGATTCTATTGGAGGTAACTCCAGTGATTCACAATATCGAGTCCAGAGAAGAAGAGTGAGGCATAAAGAGAATGATCGTGAAATAAAAGCGGAGGCGCCTGAATTTGAGGGTAGTCTCAATCCTGATGACTTTGTCGATTGGGTGAATGCGATCGAGGGGTTTTTGACTTCAAGTCCTACTCAGACGTGAATAGATGTAAGATTGTTGTCCTCAAACTGACTAAATATGCTTCTTTATGGTGGGAGAATCTAAAGCATTAGCGACTTAGAGAAGGAAAATGCCGAATCAAGTCTTGGGATAAACTCAAGAAATTGATGAAGAAGAGGTTCTTGCCTGACAACTATAAGCAAGATTTGTTCCTCAAGCTGAATTTCCTAAAACAACAAGGGATGAACATTGAAGAATACATCAGAGTTTGAACAATTCAACATGAGGTGCGAAGTTTTAGAAGTTCTAGAGCAAACCATCGCTCGATTCCTTGGTGGGATGAATTGGGAAATTGTTGATTTGGTTGAACTTCAACCTTTTTGGTCCTTTGAAGACGTCTATAAGTTGTCGATGAAGGTCAAAAAGCAAATAAAGAGTAGCAAGAGGTTTTCTTCCAGAACCTCAACAAAAGGAACATCCTACTTTAAGGGTGCTTCCTCGAGTAAGGTCGAGAGTATGTTGACAAAAGACAAGGGCAAAGAAAAGTTTGTGGATTCTTCCAAAAAAAAAATCCACAAGAAAACTGTCGGAGAAGCTTTAAGTGCCATGGATATGGGCATTTGCAAGCTAATTGTCCCAATCAGAGAGTTATGACTCTTCAAGAAATCGAGAAGATCGATTTAGACTTCAAGAGGCCGAGAAAGATTCTGATCAAATGTATCCAAATCGGAAGAACAAGAGGAGTCTAAAGAAAAGGCTGATGATGTTGAGTTGCTGGTGATCCGGAGAGCATTACACTATGTAATTTCTCTAGAGGAGAATGCACAAAGAGAGAACATATTTCACACTCGTTGTACAATTAACGAAAAGGTGTGTACAATGATTATTAATGACGGGAGTTGCACCAATGTCACATCAATAACCTTGATAGACAAGCTGAGGGGGAAGAACAGCAGAAGTGCCAAAAGTTGTGTACGGAGCTCACTTTGGTGCCAAAAGTTTCAAACGGATCACTTAAGTGCCAAAAGTTTACGCCGGCAATCACTTAAGTGCCAACGGCGAGAAATTCCGACCAAATTTAATACGTGGCTTTCATATTTAAATTTTAATGACACGTGGCATTTTCCACGTGTATAATTCAATTTTTTAAATATATTTTTATGATTTGTTTTTTCTTTCTTTTCTTTTTTCTTTTCTTTCTTCTTCTTCTTCTTCTGCCATGGCCGGTGGCCGGAGGCCAGCCACCGGCCAGGGCCGGCCTCGTCGAGCGTCGCCTTCCACCGAGCGAGGCCCGGCGAGGCAGTCGTGGCCTCGGCGAGGGCCGGCCTCGCCGGATCTGGCGAGGTGAGCCCTCGCCAAGGCCACGCCGGCCTCGCCGAGGCGTCGCCTTCCTCCGGGCGAGGCCCGGCGAGGCCGCCGTGGCCTCGCCGAGGCGTCGTCTTCCTCCGGCGAGGCCACCGTGGCCTCGGCGAGGGCCGGCCTCGCCGTATCCGGCGAGGCGAGCCCTCGCCAAGGCCACGGCGGCCTCGCCGAGGCGTCGCCTTCCTTCGGCCGAGGCTCGGCGAGGCCGCCGTGGCCTCGGCGAGGGCCGGTCTCGTCGGATCTGGCAAGGCGAGCCCTCGCCAAGGCCACGACGGCCTCGACGAGGCGTCGCCTTCCTCCGGGCGAGGCCCGGTGAGGCCGGCCCTCGCCGAGGCCACAGAGGCCTCGCCAACCCTCGCCCGGAGGAAGGCGACGCCTTGGCCGGTGGCTGGCCTCCGACCACCGGCCATGGTAGAAGAAAGAAAAGAAAAAAAAGAAAAGAAAGGAAAAAAGAAAGAAAAGGAAAAAAAAAGAAAAGAAATGCCACATCAGCCTCCGGCGAGCCACATCAGCTTGAGAAATTAATAAAAAAATACCACGTCGGATTTCCGGCGATGTGGCACTTAAGTGATCGTTTTTCACAACTTTTGGCACTTAAGTGATCCGTTTGAGACTTTTGGCACCAAAGTGAGCTCCGTACACAACTTTTGGCACTTCTGCTGTTCTTCCCCCGACAAGCTGAAGCTACCAACGTCTAAGCATCCTGAACCATACAAGCTTCAATGGCTCAGTAAAGGAAGCGATCTTAAGGTAACTAAACAAGTCTTGATTTTGTTTTCAATAGGAAAGAATTATCAATATTAGATTCTATGTGATGTTATTCCTATGGATGCATGACACTTGTTATTGGGTAGACCTTGGCAATATGATAGGAAGACTCTTCATGATGGGCGTAAAAATACATATTCATTTAACAAGGAACAAAAATACATTACTCTTGTGCCCTTGAATCCAGTCATGAAACACAAAAATCAACATGGGGAGGGAAACACTAGTAAGAAAAGCCTATTCTTGAGTAAAACATGGGTTGAGAGAGCCATTAGCAAGCAAAATAATGTATTTGCTTTGTTTATGGTTGAGAAAAAGAGTGAGACGAAGAGACCCATATAACCAAAGATGCATTCCATGTTGAAAGAATTTGCAAATGTGTTTTTAGAGGAATTGCCACTTAGATTACCTCCCATAAGAGGTATTGAATAGCACATTGATTTGATTCCTGGTGCTTCTCTATCGAACAAAGCAACTTATCGATGCAACCCGGAAGAAACAAAAGAGTTGCAAAGACAAGCCAATAAACTTATCGACAAAGGGTATGTCCGAGAAAGCATGAGCCTATGTTCCGTTCCAACTTTACTTGTGCCCAAAAATGATGGTTCGTTCAGAATTTGTGTCGATAGCCAAGCCATCAACAATATCACAATTAAATATAGGTACTCCACACCTATGCTTGATGTATGCTTTAATGAATTATATGGTTCCACTGTGTTTTCCAAGATAAATTTGTGGAGTGGTTATCATCAAATCCGGATGAGAGGAGATGAGTGAAAACGACTTTCAAAACAAAAGGACGTCTCTATGAGTGGCTGGTCATGCCATTCGGATTTTTTAATGCTCCGAGTACCTTCAAGAGACTTATGAACGAGGTTTTTCATTCTTATATTGGTCGATTTGTTGATGTCTATTTCTACGATATTCTTGTTTATAGCAGGAGCGAAGAGGAACATATATCTCATTTGAAGGAGGTCTTCGGCGTCTTGAGA